GTACATTTCAAGAAATACTTCAGTATGAAAAGCATTAATATAATAAAGCTGCATCGTCCGTCGTGCAATTTCTTAATTACAAAGAAAAAATATATCGAAGAATTTTCTTTCTAAATTCAAACAGAAACTCTAAAATAGGAAGTGGCAACAATTTTCCTGTCATAAACAGCAGCGAAAGTTAGAAATCTGTATTTGCTGCATAATATGTTAGAAATGTCGACCAAGAGTTGCGACAAAGGAATCTGGCTAGATAGCGGCTTGCTTTGAAGTTTTCGTATCGCCGGTTCGTTTTTAGTTGCATTTACCAGGGAGGTATTGTAATAAAATTTCGTCATCTGTATACCGAAGGTGTGAAAAGGAAAAGTAAGTAGGTGTTAGAAAAGCCACTGTAATCGTAACTGTCGGCTTTCGTTTTCGTACAGTAATAAATGAAATACGGTGGCTTGTAAGAAGAAAAGAAAGCATCCAGCTTAAAATGTCCAAATGCAAAGCATTCTTTTAAACAGGTACCATATTGAAAGTTGGTAAGGCGCTAAATGTGATCGCCGTTAATATTATCATTCGGGTATTGTTATCGAATTGACGAAGTCACGCCTGTTTGTATATGGGAAGCAGGAAAATATGTGATCACTAATTCTGTTAATGTTATCAAAATGAATTTTCAAGTAAATTCTACAAATAATTTGAATTGAATTAAAAAATTCATTGAATTTTAAAGTAAATAAATTTTAAAATAAAAAAAATCTGAAAGCTTTCAGATTACGACCAATCTTGAAATATAAAACATGGCTATAATATTTGGTGGCAACAGTTTGAAAAGTGATTCGACGCAAAATGCCGTTTTGAAATCAATAGTCCTTCTGGGATAGCGCTCTTTGGGCTAATAATAAATTTTAAATAGTCAAATAAATTTAAAAAATTTCCAAATGACTTGAAAATATCACAAAGTAAGGGATTGTTTGGTTTTTGTTTAAGTCAACCATTTAAAATTTAGGAAAAAAAAAAATGTCAGCTTTTGTTGAATTTGGCGCAGATTTTGAATACTTCTCTTGATTTCGTGAAAATGAGACATAGTTCCCTCTTCTTCAGTCAGAAGAAGAGGGAGCTATGAGGAAACAAAACGATTATTCTTCGCCCAAAAGTTTCTAACTGAGCTTATTTATTTTTTGACAACTATGAATGACAGTTAATGAAATCTGTACCTTGAAATCTTTGAATAAGATTGATATCGCATTGTAAATTAGCTAACTACACTTCAAATAATACAAACTCGAACTTCAACTAACTAAAATCTTGAGATCTTTGTAACAGGGGTCTTTGCAACAAATACATCATTATAATGTCTTCGCGGGCCCATAAAATTGCTTTGGGGAGCCACTAGTTTGACAGTTCCGATTAAAGGGGATGAATCATGTTTCTACACCCCTAAATTCTTTCCTCATATTGCAGGAAGAACGGTGTCTGGGGAATGCGGACTTTGGATCCAAGTTCCATCGGAACTGATTTAAATTTCGAACTTTAAAATAATTCGACATAAATTTGTAATATAAGAAGACTTCTCGATAAGTAATAAAAATTAAGATCATGAACGCAACATGAGATGAAAAAAGGCAGAAGGAGCTGGAGATGGGTGTAGATGAGAGTTCAGACAAGGTTTTCTAACACATTTAATCTCAGTAACACATTTAAGAGTTTTTGAGTTGAGTTGAAATGAGGCAGTAACAAAAACAAAATGATCTTAAAATTCAAATCCCTTCAATGAAATACCACTTGTTCCTACGTTCATACGAACCATTTATTCAATGTGTCCATCCATACCGATGGACCATATTAACAATTCGGTATGGATAATATCGATATTCAGTATGTATAATATCGGTATGGATAATATGGTCCATCCAATACCGATATTCCATATTCCATTGTTCCATTCAAGTGCACAACAAGGGTTTTCAAATATGACATACTCATATGAACAATTCATCCACTCAATCAAAGGAATCTAAATACAAAAAATAAAGTTCATTCATTATGTCCATCCATATTCATTTGAACATATTCATCATTTCATATCCATTCCATGTTTCATTGTTCCAGTGAACTGGACAACAACGGATATGTAATATAACATATTCATATGAACAATTCATCCACTCAATCAAAGGAATCTAAGTACAAAAATACAGTTCATTCATTATGTCCATCCATATTCATTTGAACATATTCATCATTTCATATCCATTTGTTGCATTGTTCCAGTGGACTGGGCAACAGCCGGATATGTAATATAACATATTCATATGAACAATTTATCCATTCAGTCAATGGAATTCAATGGAACATCATTTGCTCATACGTTTATGTGAACAGTCCAATGGAGCAATGGACGTCATTGAGTGGAACAATTCAATGAACCATTCAGTTCACTGAATGGCTTATTGAATGGCCCATTGATTGTCGTCTGATATAAACGTCTTGTGTGTGGATTCCATGAGGTGGTTTTTTGAAATCTTATGTAAACATCTATCTTCCTCTTGTTTTGAAAGGCAAGTATGTAGGCTTTATTTAGATCGGAATACAATTGTAGATTTGCATGAAAGACAAACGCACAAATAAACAAACAGTCACTCCTATACTTATACAGGGCGTCACAGAAAAAACTTCCCCTATTTGAATCCCTATCGGCCTATCCCGTTCAATCATTCGAAATGAAATTTCAGGTATTGTTATTTGAAGGCATGCGGGCGAGATTGTGATGATTTAAAACAATAGAGAAATAATAATAAACGTGGCAATACTGGCCACGTCGACAAAAACCTCGGATAGGCATAGCAGGGAAAACGCAGTCTTCAGCACCATCAAAACAGGGAGGACACACACCTTTTCTCTCCGTCGAGAAGATTCTACTGCGCAATTTAGTTCACCTTTTCTACTCAGCTAGGGAGCGAACGGGAGGAATGCCTATTTCAACAGGAACTATACACGTATGATAAACTGCCGGCGTAAAAAATGTGCAAAGAAGAGCATTGTAAAGAACCACTGACAACACAGACAGAAGGTGCCTGGAGCAACAGCGTGTCTACTTTTTTCTTTATCTGATATGATGAAGATAGCAGGTAGCCGCTGAGGATAATACGGATGGATGAGGCGCATTTCTTCTTGGAAGAGTAAACTCCAAGAACTGCTTTCACACGGCTGATGAAAATCCTCATGATGTGGCACCAGTGCCTTGCACGAAGCTGAAGTGATTGGGCTGTTCCAGTATCGCAAGCACATTCATTCTCAATCTATATTTTTGCGAAGAGGTCACTTTCACAGGTATGAAAATGTACTCCATCACAAGTGCTCGGTATACAACAATGTTGCAGACTTATGTGATTCTAGATATGCAGAAGCGTTAATGTCGTTAATGACACTGTAGGCGTCCAAGATAACGCTCATCCACAAGTCACCACATATTCGGCAAGTGCTGCAACAGCACTTTGGAGATAGAATTATTTCCCTATACTTTGCAATTTTGTGGTCTCCGAGATCCTCTGATCTCACTCCGATTGAGTTTTGGTTCTGGGGTTACCTGAAATCTAAAATGTGCACGTCAAATCCACGAGATTTTCAGAACTGAAGGATACTTTAAAATGTAAAGTTATATAGATTCCTCCTACGATGTTACGTTCATCATTGTTGCTATCGATCTACCGCATAGAATACGTTATCGTCCGCGAAGTTGAAAACTTGTAATCCAATAAAAGTTTTTCCCCCTCTCCTATCTTGTGTTGTCATTTGTCCTTTACAATGTTCTTCTCTGCAAATGTTTTACTTCGGCAATTTTTGTCATTACGAGTATCATTTCAACGCCATTTACGGTTCTTTAAATGCGCAACGCTGATCAATTTGCGCAGGTAAAAAGTGGCTGTAGCCATTCCAAAATTTAGAAATGTTTTCACTGTAACCGTAACCATGAGCATTGCTGTATTGCTTTAAATCCGTGCCTAACCGTATTGCTTTAAATCATCATAATCTCGAGCGCATACCTTCAAATAACAATATCTGAAATTTCATTTCGATTGGTTGCGTGCATAAGCCGCTAGGAACTCATATATTGGGGAAGTGTTTTCATAACCAACCTGTATAAATAATATAGATAATGATGATTAGCTTGCGATAGTGCTGATGTACTATCGTCATAGGATGTGATGTAATTTTATCCATTAGCAAATCCTCCATTAGAAATTCCTCAAAAGTTAAAATTAGGATCCGTACATGCAGACCATAAGGTGCTATTAAATTGAATGACGTAAAAAACTGAAAAGCAGACTTGATCATTTATTCTTTAAAAATTAACAGTATAAATGCATAAAAACAATTTTGTTCTTTGGGGGAAAATAATGGAAGGGTTATCTGTCTTCCTGAAAATTCAAAAAGTGTTTTGAGCTCTAAGAGATGTTATTGTTTTTATTTTGCGATAAAAACCTCTACATTCTAAAGAAGCGTTATTATCACTCATAAATTCATAACACGCTGTATTTATCTTCGATATCATAAAAGCATATTGTCCATTACAGCGTTCTTTTTATAATGCACCGATCGCAAAATTACTAATTATTTTCATGTGGCCGCTATCATCTACAATCTAAACAAAATCTAATAGTAATAATGAAGTTTTGTAGTGACATGTAGATCGTAAGCATCTTTCTAAAACTTTACTTAAACACTTAAATTCTTTTTGTTTTGTTTATTTGCGCCACTTTAAGTTCCAGAAAGAAATACGGAAACAATCGGAGGTTTAAAACTGAAATTCTTTTTAAGATGATTTTTTAATTTTATATAACGATTTCATGTTCTGTAACGAAAAATGTTAATCTTATTTAAGATTACGAGCTAAATATTTGTATTTTTTTATAAAAAGGTGACAATGCATTTCTCTGTTGTAATTCAAAACAGCATTAAAAGTTCAACAGTATAACAGCATGAAATTGTTGAAATATAGGACTTGGTCTTACTTGTGGTATGGTCATTTTCATGTCGTAGTTCTTGGGCGTAGCATCCATTACTGTGCACGTGATCCGATGACATCATGATGCCTTGCATCGTGGCTTGGCATTTCTCGAATTTTCGAAAATATTTAGGCAAAGGTTTCCATAGCTTTGTCTTTCTTTATTCTGAAATTAATAAAAGAGTTTAGAGTTAGAAGAGTAATTCTTTAGTTATGAAGAAAAACGTAATTAATCTTAAGTTCTTTAAATATAATACATAGCAATAATATTTGGTCGCAACAATTTAAACAGTGATTTCCGTTTGTAGTGAAACGCCACAAAATGCCGTTTTGAAACTAATAGCCTTTCTGGGCTACCGCGTCTTCGGACTAATAAAAATAAGAAGGAAGTTCAAAAAAGTTTGATTGAATTCCAAAGCACGGTTATAAAATTATTCATAAAATAGTTATTGATCATTTGAAAATTCTAGAGCAAAAAATTATTCGTTACTTTCCAAATGTAAAAATAAAAAAATTTGACTGGGTTCGAAATCCATTTGTGATAATCCACACTTCAATTATTTTTGAAGGAAGAGAAGAATTAATTTCGATGTGTCAAATTCAGACGAATCAATTAATTCATTCTTAGGTGTGATTATCCGACAATATCACAAAAAGTTTTAAGTGCGTTATTACAGTTTTCCACGTCTTATTTATTCCGATGTGCGGCTTTGACCAGTATAAAAACGAAAAAAGAATCTAAACTTTTAAATCCGGATCACGAAATGAATGTAGTATACTCAGTTTAACGCCTAAATATAAATAAAGATATCAAAAAACAGAAATTTTAAATCTTCATATTAATTGAAATTTAATTTATCACTGAATAAACATTTCGTTTACGTTGTACTGCAATTTTGTTTCATATTTCATTGACAATTACTATCGTATGCTATTTTTATAAAAATATTTTATAGATGCATCAAACAATTAACCACACAAAAGTCTTTCAAACGTATCTCATTGTTAGCATATCACGAAATTTTTAAATTATTAAATGTGTACAGTTATTTAAAAAAAAGGTTGAGAATCACTGTTCTAAACAAAAGCGTATATCAGGTGGGCGAGAACTCAGTTGTTGGCGAACCAGGATATAGGATAACACGTTAGAAGATCCTTTTGCGTCATGCATTGAACTAAATTATCATTGATATATCGAGATAAAGACTTTGAATCCGTTCATTAACTTCATTAGAGTTCCTTGATGACTTTGAATCCATTCATTGACTTTATTCGAGTTCTTTGATGACTTTGAATCCGTTCTTTGACTTCATTCGAGTTCCTTGATGGATCTGTTAGAGGCTAATGCTTATTTATAATTGTAAATGTGTATTTTAAATGGAAATTTATAAGTGATAGATGGGTCTAAACCATGGCTTTTATGTTAAGTCATTTTTGTTAAAAATTATTAATGTATTGTGAAACTTAAAAACAATGAAAAATAAATGTAGTAATTTCACCTAATAGTACATTTCTTTTTAAATTAAAGTTCCTGTTAACATCATTCGTTTCATCAATTAATTTTTATACCGTTTTGTGAGATAACTTTTTTCTTATCAAATCGGATACAACGAGCCAAATTTTCAGTCCCTTGAAAGGGAGTTCAACTGTATTCATAAATTCTAACAACCGAGTGCAGTGCCTCGATCCAAGCACGAGCGCAATGTCTGGACGCGACCTTCAGTGATGACACAAAACAAAAGCAAGACAACTAAATAAAAATCCCGAGAAAGCTATCAAGTTTCTGCTAATACGCAATTGCGTCGGGCACCGACTGAAAGAAATAGCTTACAATCTATCACTTGCTTTTGGCACGCGCCTCGTGAATAGCTAAAAAGAAGCTTCGGACTTATGAAAGGACCCTCTTTCTAGGGCCCTAAAATAGCCTCCTTATCGGCTATTTCGTTTTTTTATTTTTCTGTCTTTCTTTGCATGGTTTGCGACGATCATTCACGTACTTATCATTCTGCGGAATTTTCCACCGGCGGTTAGAAATTTTTTGAGGAAAAATTAATGGTGTTTCGGTGTAAAAGAGTCGTTTTGGGACTGTTATTGCAGCTTGGAGGAGACAGGCTGTGGACATTATGTGTTTCTGGCGTCTTCAGCAGCATTTTTAGGGAAGCGGGAAAAAAGCTCAAGAGCTGCTTAAAGTTACAGTTTGCAACATTGACTTTAGCTCCTTCACTCTCCTGATAAAGGCATATACAGTCTATTTCCTCAAACGTAAGATGATATTTTACCATTTAAAATGGCCTTCGGCATAGGTTGCATGTTTTTACTTAAAATATATTTTAAGATGATTTACCGCCCATATTTTCAAAAGAAAACTTTATTACTTTTTCTGATCAAAATTCTATGATATATACCTGTTACCATCAAAGTATCAAAGTATTCTATACGGTACGTAAGCGTTTTATAGAATGCCCAAAACTCTCCGGCATTGTATGAAACGATTAATATTTCGTACATTTCCTAGACATTTTGTAGAATGGCAAATAAAAAACCGGCAAACTATGAAATACATCTTTGATTCGTTTCAAATATCCATACCTTTAATACATTTCATAGATAATCCATACATTTAATGCTTTAATTCCACAATTCTATACGTTTCATACAGTTTCATGTATTGTTGTCTTTAATAAGAAAGGCATAAACTATATTAATAACTTAAGTTTTCCTTTATTAAAAATGCTAAATTAATAAAAAATAAATTTCAACAATTAAAACAAAAAAAAAATCATTCTTTATTCCATAGAAAGATCCCAATTTTTCAAAAGAAATTGAAATTCCTCAATACAATCACCAACAATTCATAAAGATCGAGTTTCATCTTTTCGCGTTTCTGAACGAAGTCCCTATTCCAGTTTTAAATTTGCTAATCAGTTTTATAAAATACATGAATTTAAAATCTTAAATAATTTCAGAAATGTGAAAAAATGACTCTGCAGCTCTGTGCTTATTTTTGAAATAACACTTTAATTCCTACATCGAAAATAAACTAGTTAAATTAATTAAACATTAAAATAAAAGGTGAAATAATTTTGATGTTAATAATTAAATTTACATTAAAATAAACTAAATAAAATTTAATTCATAAATTTTAAAATGCGGTTTTGTTTGTTTTTCTCTTAGCCAAATCGCGGATGACATTCCAGAAGTTCGTTTCATGACTTCAGTTGCTCTTCTGTAGACTGTGTACAGTCAAAAGTCGTTAATTCGGACACCCATAATCCGGAATGATCTATAATCCAGGCCTCAAAGCTAAAAAATTTCTGCACATGCGCCGCATTGACACATGCGTATAGGCGTTTACGCGTGCGCGTAAGAACTTTACGACTGCGCATATGCGTCTGCGCAAGCGCAGAATATTTTTTCGCGTGCGCGTTTAATGTATAACGGACGGTACAAGCTAAAATTATCTATTTCAGTTATGTTGATGATTGCGTTGTTCCTTAATTTTCGAATTGGATGCGGTTTATTATTTTTTGCAGACTGTAAGAGCAATGTTATAAAAATAAACTTGAACTTTCGATTATGTCAAATAGAATTTCCGATGCTGGAGCTCCCAAAGGATCTACAAAACGAAAGTATGTTTCGATGTCCATCAAACAAAAAGTGGAATTGCTGCAAAAAATGGATAAAGACATGAAGAAGGTGACAGAAACGAACGAGAGGTTAGTGAAAACGAAAAAGTTTCGATAGACAAGTTAGTCGGTATTCTCGGCACAGCAATTACGGGACTTGAACAGCGGAACTTTGCAATTGAACAAGAAATTATGTCTGTTTATAGAATTAAAGAGAAAGTATTATCACATAAAACGAAACAACTTATATTGAAAGAAATGTTTAATAAAGTAAACAAATAAATATTAAGCTTTTTTTTTTTTTTTTTTTTTTGTAAAATTTTGATACCTTTTAGATCATAATTGTTCTTTATTTCATAAATTACGGTTTCATATTTTTAATTTTAGAATTTCCTGCATGCTATCTTACGAGATTTAAACTGATGATCTATAATCCGGAAAAATCGATAATCCGGAATCGCCGAAGTCCCGACGAGTCCGGATTAACGACTTTTGAGTGTATTTATTAAATGCGAGATACTCATCTTTAGGTCTTAGATGCTTGTTAACCGATTTGCATCTAGAAAATTCTCTCACAACAAGTAATACTTATAGAAATTGTGAGGGAAATCCGATGCAGAAATCTTCCTCATCTATCTTAATTAAATCCTTAAACTTAGTTGTCATTCGTATTTTTTATTCAAAAGTTTCAATGAAGTAAAGAAGGCCAAGCAAGAAATTAAAGAAATTTCTTTGTAATTCCTTCGAAACTATCTCCACTGAAAAAAAAAAAAAAAAAAAAAAAAAAAAAAAAACCTGAAAGGTTTCAGATTTTAAATTACGTCAAAAGGTGAATTTTTTTAACGTTTTGTATGTTACCTTTATTGATTAAATATCATGTTCTACGTACTCAAACTGCAAAATTCAGTTCAGTAGCAATATCGCACATTAATATTAAAATGAGCATATCTTTAGAATTTCCGGTACAGGGTCTCGCGCGCTGGAGATGAAATTTTTTTTTCGTACAGTGTTGCCATTGCTCGCTTTGAAATCGCTTAATTTTTTAATAAAAAATTCGTTTAAGTGTTACAAAATATTGAAGAGTCATTAGGTTTTTTTTTTTTTTTTTTTTTTAAAAGCAGGAAAGATGAAAAATATACAACCGCCTTCTCCGAGAATCGTACCACGAACCTCTGGAATACTGGCCCAGCGTGCTGAACCAATACACCACGAAGGACGCTTGGAAAGTGGGAGAAATACCTTATAATATGATATCGATAATAAAACAAATTTTAAATTCAAATCAGGGCTTCCATCTGCCCATATTATACGGAAGATCACGTTATTCAAATTTTGATAGCTCTTGGTACCGTTGTTTTATCACAATGCGAGAAACAGATGCATTCATGCAGATTCTTCGCTATTTAATTTCTCTAAATATAAGTCAGGGCGATAATATATGGTGGCAACGATTTGAAAAGTGATATAATCTTTTAAAGTTTTCGACGCAAAATGCCAAAACGAAATGAATAGTCCTTCAGGGCAAACTGCCCCTTTGGAC